AATGCCCAATACAAAATAATGAGCATATTTCTAGGGCCAATTATCTGTATGTGTGTTGTGTGTTTAATAGTCTTTGTTGGGCTTTAGAGACTGTTTAATTTTGGTAAATCTCATCTTTTTCTTGGACCCATATTTGTTCCTTTTGGTAAAGTAAGAAAAAAAAACTCAACAATATGCAAAATAATCAGATATCCATGAATAATCAGGTTGAATTAAATGTTTCACTTTTAAACATTGGCCCCTTAAAAATACTAAGAATGAGGCTAGGCGTGGTGGCGCACGCCTTTAATCCCAGCACTCGGGAGGCAGAGGCAGGCGGATCTCTGTGAGTTCAAGGCCAGCCTGGTCTACATAGTGAGCTCTAGGACAGCTGGGGCTACAGGGAGCCCCTGTTTCAAAACGACCAAAAAAAAAAAAAAACAAAAAAAAAAAAAAAAAAAAACTAAGAATGTTTGATCTGTATCATAACTGTTTCTTATTTTATTGAGCACTTGAACAAAATCCTGATGTTGCCTTAACATTTTCCCTGCATGGTCCCCCATAAGCAACTGTTTCTTCCTTTTGAACATAGGATTTGCTGCTTCTATTTTTTTTTCTTTATCTTCATGTAGTTTTTTTTTTTTTTTAAGGCAAAGAAAAACGTTGATGTAATCTTTAAAGTGCCAGCAGTTTCAATTTCATAGTGTTGAAACGTGGAATTTTTTGGTGAAATTCATGTAGCAATGCCAGGTTTATAAACATATAGTACTATGATTTGAAAATCTCTCTTCCAAAAGAGTTTGATTTTATCTGTTTATTTGGATTTGGCGGGGAGATGGGATGGATGGAGAGCACAGTGGTATTTAATACTTACGGTGGAAAATGTAACCTTAAATGCACAATGCACATTAAGTGCAACTGATATAAAAATATTAAATTTTTTTAAAAGCCCATCTATCTTCTAAACATGCCTACAGAGACCCTGTAGTTCTTCATTTTTCACCTGTGTGTGGGCATTAACTATTAAACCCAAATTAAGCTTACAGCCAATCTGGGCAGTGATTTATTTAACTCTGACATGTTCATGTCATTCTCTGAATGACTTACAATTAACCGTTTTAAAATTCAGACAATAAAACAAAATGATTATTTTAAAACTTTCCTGGGTAGGGGGTATAGCTCAGTGGTAGAGGACTTGTCTAGCATGCACAAGGTCCTGGATTCCATCCTTAGTTAAATAAGGAAAAATAAAATGGATATTAAATGCAGACCCAAAGACTGAATCAGCAAGGAGAAAGAGACAGTGACTCAGGATAGAGACAGCTACCAGCTGACAGTTACAGCATGCTACTTCTTGTACATCTCTAGATTCCCAAGTAACTCGTGTTCTTTCATCCCTTCCCTGAACAAACCAGCTCCCAGAACAGTCAAATTAATAGCTTGATAAACATATCAAGAATGAAAAGAGAGGCCAGAGAGATGGCTCAGCAGTTAAGAGCTCTTGCTACTTTTATAGAAGTTCAGAGCTAGATTTCCAGCACCCACAGTGGGTGTTTTATAACTACTTATAGTTCCAGCTCCAGGGGATCTGACACCCTCCTCTGGTTCTGCAGGCACCCACATACGTGGCATAAAACATAAATAAAGGGATAAAAAAAGAATTAAGGCATGAAAAGATGGCTCAGTGGTTAAGAGCACCAGCTGCTCTTGCAGAGGACCTGGATTCGATTCCCAGCACCAATATGGCGGCTAACAATAGTTCATAACTCCTGTTCCAGGGGATCTGCTGCCCTTTTCTGACCTCCATGGGCACTGCACAACATGGCTGCACTTACATTACATACGTTCAGGTAATACATTCATATACATAAAATAAAAATAACAAGTAAAATATTAAAAAAAGAGTTAAAAGAGAGTTTGAAGCCCCATCCTGAATACTAAGGTAGGATGGGATTGCTAATTGAATGCAAGGTAGCTTGTTTAGAATTCTAATGATCTCAACTGACAGTTAAAACTTATATAGCTATTATCTTTATTATTTTATTAATTTCATCTCCTTTCATTCTTTTTTTTTCCTTAGGGGAAAGGGACTAACATAAAAGTAGATTTTTTTTTTAAAGGCTAACAAAACCACAAAACAAGAAGGAAAAGAAGACCATTGTGGGATTTGCAAATAAAAAAATGTTCCTTCTCCTTAGGTTTGGTTAACCAGCTCAAATGTTCCTAATGAACCACTGGCAGGCCACCAAGTGTACAGTTTTACATCTCCCCAAACTCATGGCCACCACTTATCTGTAACAGATGCTTGAAAGCTATAATCATAAATGCTAGAGATGGAAAAGAACTATTAGGTCATTTCTCTTGGTTTGATGAGGTCAGGATTGTTCCAGAAAACTGGACAATTCTAGTGACTGCTGAAGAATTTATGTATAAATTGACCACTGAGATCTCAAGGAAGAGACTTCTCGTTCTGTACAGAGCCACGTGTGCATTGCTAGGCCCCTTTCCCATGGCATTCCCTTCATATTTCTTCTATGCTTCAAGCTCTCTAGTTACCCTGAGAAAGCTCTTTGCCTGCTTGATTATTAATAATTTAATAGCTTAAAAGATTTTGTTTTCCCTATAATCCATCACCAGGAAAAACTTTAAAAAATAATTTATTATTAAGTACTTACTCTGCCAGTCACTGTTCTCAATTCTATGTTAGCAATCTGTCAATTAATTATGAAAACTCTTATGAGGTAGGAACCATTCTTATCATTATTTTAAAAATGAGAAGACTGCTGTATAAAGAGGCTAAGCAACTTGCTGAAGTCACAGAGCTGATGAGTGTCAAAGCCAGAACTCAAATCCAAGCTCTAAGTACAAAGAAGCACACATCATGAGCCTTGTTACAAATAAACAACAACAGTTTCAGAAACAAAGAAGCCACGTATCAGATTAGAATTGGCCCAATATACTGAGACAAGCCATCCAGAAGAGAGGAGGAAAGACTATGTCTTTGGTTAGCAACACAGTGAAAGGGAACTGAAAACTCACTGTCTTTCCAACCTTTAATATGCTATTTATAGTGTTTTTGTGTATAATTCAACTTAGGTGAAATGCAAAGGTTTAATAGAGGATTTATAAATCATTATATTTCTATGCTAAACTTTAAAATTCCACATTTGAAAAGAAGTTTAGTAGATGGAAAGACTCTAACAACTGGCCCTCCCTATTGTTGGCACAACCATGTGGGTTTATCTACCAGGCCATGCAGAGAGCTGGTACAAACCATCATTTGCTCTACAGCCTATGTGGATGGAGGACTGGGCCTGTAACACTCAGATATTTACTAAAATGGAAGTATTAGAGTTTATTTACAATATGATAATAGAAGATAACAAGAGGAAATTTAAGTCCAAGATAAAATCTGAACTACTTTAAAAGCTCTTAAGATGGTACAGTGTGCATGACACAAAACTTGTGGAACATCTGCCTGAAATGAGGATGTCACAGTAATATAACAGGGGTAACTAAGAAAATGATTCCAGAAATGGGTCATCCTTAAAAGGCAGGGTTAGGGGACTTTATTTCTAGAACTTTTATTTGATGCTTTTTTTTTTTTAAGTTGCATACTGCTGACACATACCTCTATATTCTTTATTCTATGCCTTATTGTGTGTGAGTATGATCCTTATCAATAAGTTTTGCTAATTGATATTTATTTTATAGGAATAGGATGGCAAGGAAAGTCACAATAAATTGAGGTATTGTATCACTGAAAAACAAACAGAAAGCACACAGTCATCTTCCCATTCAAGTATATTTTAAAACACAGTTTCATACAACCTCAAAGTCTTAATAATAAAGGGAAATTCCAGTAACAACTATATTTGTATTTTGCTGAAAGTTGCTGTCTAAACTGAGTAGGAAAGCTCTGATAAGAAAAGCCATTAACAGGTGTTTATAAGGGATGAAACAAAAGCTCAAATATTGTTGCTTTCACAGCCTTCTCCACAAGATCGGGGCAAGATCCTTAGCTACTCGATTATCCAGGTATTCAAAATGTATTCACAATTCAAAGTAACAGAGAAGATGAGACACTGATAGCATAAAGTGCTAGCTAAGTTGAAAAACATTTATTTTAGCTAGGGAGAGAGTGTATATTTAAGTAGGGAAGATGACAGATGAGTGATAACTTGTGAGCAAACATCAGAGAGGAGGGACCAGTGAGTAAAACCCACGATAGTAAGAAGCTGGTCTTATGAAGGACAAAGATCTCAGAGACACAAGAGAAGACAGCATAATCCTAGACACCTGACAGGCCCACCAGAAACTTGGACTCAATAAAATGGGAGGAGATTTTAGGGTGATGGTTGTAAGTGAGACAGTATTATTGCTGGATTTTCAAAAGAGACTAAAAGAACAATCTATCATGTATTAGCAGACACATATAGATCTCAGGAACCTACAAGATAGGAGGCAAAAAAGGAAAGTGATAGATGGCAATGCTTAGCTGAAAGTAATGCTTCTGTAAAAACTGGTGTAGATACCAGTGGCAAACTATTATCACACCAAAGGATAAGTGTATGGAAAGTCATCATACTATACTACTTTTTGTACACTTGGAAATGTTTAGATTAAGTATTTTTCTTAATTAAAAAAATTACTTGAACTCAGGTTCAATCAGGCTTGAGGGCAAGTGTCTTTATCTGCTAAGCCATCTTGCTCACTCTCTAAGTACTTCTGAATGTACCTCGTCCTCAAAAGATATCAATATCCTCTTCCCCAGTTACCCTCAATTTTCCAGGTAAATTTAGGAATCTTAGAGATGTAATTACAAGGTACACCTATTAGTGTACTTTAAAATCTGGTGAAAAAGAGGTAAAAATAATTCTGTTGTAACAAAATGTGTTCTAGAAAGTAAGAGACACCACCTGACATAATTAGGCTAAGCATGCTAGGGTAACACACAAAGATACAAGGAGCAAGATACAAGCAGAAGCATTTGACTTAAAGGAAAAGTTCTAAGCACTTACTTCATCTCTAGGACCTCCTCTAAGTGTTTCCTTCTCTCTGCCCGAAGATTGGTCAAATGAGTCTCCTTCTCTGCCAGAGACTGTTGGGTGGAGGACAGTTTTGCTTTCATGGACTCCAGCTCCTGCTTTACCTTCTCCATGGCCATCAACAACTCCTCCACCTACCAGAGGTAGAGAAAGTAGAAAAGAATAACCTAATCAATTTTACGTGGTCTGCTGGGTCATAGGTAACACCTGGGCTCATGAAATTGAGGATATATAAGATAATTTTGAAATTTCTAGACTCTTTCTGTATCACAAATATATATCAAGAAGATATGGTATTTGCACGACACCAGTATACATACATACATGCAGGCAAAACACTCATACACATAAAGTAAAAATAAATAATTTGTTTTTAAAAAGAAGATACGGTGTTGAGGATTTATCTCTAGGTTACAGTGCTTGCTCAAGGCTGTGGATTCAATCCTCAGCACCAAACATTAACAACAACCCTACAACCACTCCCCACCCCCCAATAAAATAAAATAAAATAAAATAAAAGCAATTTTAAAAGGTTTAAAAGAGAAAGAACAGACCCAGCAAGGTGGATCAGCTGGTAAAGAGCATGCTATGCAAGCCTGATGATACCCCATGACTGATTTCAATCCCCTGAACCCATGTAAAGGTGAAAGGAGAGAACCAACTTCACACATTTGTTCTCTGTCATTCACACTGAGCACGCATGTACCCATACATGAATATTACATACACACAAATAAAAAATTTTAGATATAAAGGCCAAAATCCTATCAATTACATATAGAAGGATCTTAGGAAATAAAGGACAAATGAATAGCAGATTCAGCATATACCCACAGAAGAGCAGTTTTCATGCATCCAAACTAAGTTTTATTGTTTATACCAATAAGGATTTCTTTAAGAAATCCAAAAAGATCTGGGCAGAGGGAAGCCTTAATAGAAACAGATCTGAAAACAAACAAAAAACTTGGGGAGGAGACACCAAGAGACACAGAATGCTAAATACCAGGAAAAGAACCAAGAGGGCAAGGACTGCACTTTGTAAGCCATTTCCACTTACTCTTTATTTAGCAAGTTAGAATTATTTAAATAAACATGTTTATTTAATTAAGAAGCAAGAACTATACTGATGAAAGCATGTTATCACCAAAAAGTAATCTTACAGGTAAGCACATAGCAGTGATCAAGGAAGATTGCAGCTTGCCAAGAACTAATCTTGCTGACAACTAATCTCTGCAGGTAGGGAAAGGGAGGGCTTCTGTCATTCACTCACTTCTACATAAACCAACTTTTGTCATGCTAAAACTGAGAGCTGACTGGAGACAGACATGCAGTATGGCATACTAGAGATGGGAGGAGACTCCTTGAAATGAGTGCCTGGTACCTAACCACATCTCTACTGTGATTAGTATCAGCTGCTAAACACCCACAGAAACACATACATTTGGGTTTGGAAACCTGCATTATTTACATATCTTTCCAAGTGCTCAAGATGATCTTGACCTAAGCAGATTCTTTCATTGCTGGGTAGACCTACTTGGGTATATACTCACATCTGCAAATTTTATCTATATTACCCTTGCCTTCTAGGAATTGCTGATGAGGGAAATTCCATTTTATCAGTTTAGTTCATGTACAACTTTCTAAAACTGAACAGAAACGTTATGAGGAAGCTCTTATGAAACCAGAAAATCAGAGTTGGATAAGCAGTATGTACAGGTGCCCTAACACAGGAAATACATGATGTATTCAGCATTTGTGGACTTGTCTAAACAGATCTCAAAAGTCTCCCTGCCATTCTGCATTGCACCATTCCTAGTAGCCAATGGTATCAGTTTCTTACATAACCTTTAAAGATAGTTTACACACACACAGCATGTATAAATAGCCATGTCTTACTTTTCCTACACAAAAGAAGCTAACTGTACACATACAGCTAAACTTTGTTAGTAAGGTTATTAATCAAAGTATAAAGTACATACAGAAAATAATTAATAAATATGCAGCTAGAGAAATCTGCTACAAGTGAACATATCTAGTTAGCATGCAGGTCAATAAACAATGCTGTCAGCACCCCAGAAATGTCTTTATGTTCCCTGCCCAGATAAAAAGTGTGTTTTTTCACACTTGACTACTTTGCCAGTTTTAACCTTACACAGATAGAATTGTATAGCATCCAATTTTACAGGATTTTTCACTGAGATCCATCCATGCAGATAGGTATGATTATAGTTCTGCAATTCTCATAACTGTACATTCCACTATGTAAAAACACTAAGACATTTTATTATGCTTTGATAGAGAATAATCAACTTTTCCTTTATGGTTCTTCAATGTTCAGAGTATTTTGTACACTACACACAATTTTATCTTCCTCAAGGTCATGAAAATATTTTTTACCTTTATAAACTCCATTTCATGTTTAGAGTTATGACATATACAGTGATTTCTATACTCACTGTAATGGTCAAAATTTACTTTTTATGATTATACATATCTAACTGAGTACCATATATAGCACAAAAAAAATTAATGATTAGAAAAAAACTCCCCATATACTTTTGGGAAAAGATCAAAAAGCATTCAAAGAATACTTACAAAGAGTAGGAAAAATAATTTAATAATACCTTCATTGTATAGAACCACATTTAAATTTCAGAAATAAGCAATGTGTAATATTTTGTATCTACAAAAAGCCTGGGATTGGAGAGATGGCTTGGTGGTTAAGAACACTGACTGCTCTTGCACACACACAGTGGTTAATACCCATTCTTAACTCCAGTTCCAAGGAATTTGACACCCTCTTCTGTCCTCAGTAGGCATTGCAAGACATGGGTGCATTTACATTCAGGCAAACTACTCATATACATAAAAAAATTTTAAATTAAAAAAAGAGTGAATCCTGTATGTATGTTCCAGAATTAAAAGCAAAAGCAACATCTATCACTTATCCACGGTTCTGCTTTCTCTAGATTCAGTTACCTGTAGTCTGACACTATTAAAAGGAATACTGCATAAACAAACAATTTATAACTTTCAGTTGTGCACCAGTCCAGTGGTGTGATGAAATCTCATGTCATCCTCCTCTATCCTGCATGGGTATCAATGACTGCTTTGTTGACTGCATCCATTCTGTGTGTGCTATTTGCCTTCTATTCAGTCAGCAGCCACCTCAGATATCAGATCCACTGATGTGGTCTTACAGTGTTGTGCTCAGGTAATGCTTACTTTACTTAATAATGACCCCACAGTGGAAAATGATGCTGGCAAATTGGATATACCAAAGAGAAGGTGTAAAGTGCTTTCTTTAAATGAAAGGGTAGAGTAAGATGGTAAGAGAAAGGCCAAAGTCACATGCCTTTTAGTAGTCTGTTCTAATGAGTCTATTTTATTAATAGTTACTGTTGTTACTCTCTTACTGTGACTAACTCACATATTACACTTTACCATACATATTCAGCACTGTTTCCAGTTTTAAGCATCCACTGGGGACAAGGTTATAATATATCCCTCACATGTAAGGGGCTATTATCATACTTAACATCCAAGAGCATTCTAAGTGCAGTTACTTGGCTCTATCCCATAAGTTCCCTGTGAAAAATAATGAGCATTCTTAATTTATATTACTTTTTTCTTGCAACCCCCCTGCCAGGACAGTTTGCAGTTGATCTCAAAATCACTATGTAGCTAAGGCTGGCCTTGAACTCCTAATCTTCCTGCCTCAACCAGCCATGTTCTGGTGCTGGGATTACAGAAATGTAGCATGTCCACCACATTAAAAAGATTTATTTGATATTCATGTGTGTGTGTGTGTGTGTGCGTGCGTGCATGTGTGCAGAAGTCAGAAGACAATTTCTGAGAACTGGTTCTCTCCTTTTACTGTAACATTTTCAGGGACTGAACTTAAGACATTTGCCAGTTCATCCACCACATTTAAGTTGATACATATATTTCAAAATACATTACTGTTTATTTTAACTAGTTTATAAATGTATAAATTTGAATCATCTGACTTTCTTATTTCATTCAACATGTTTTTCGTGTATTTTTTTCAGATAGGCCTACCATGTATTTATGTTCTAGAACCAAGAGTAAAATAGCTCTATGTATCACAAGCTATAAGCTGGAATAAAAAGCCTGAAGCAGGTAGACTGTAGCTCAGGCTAGGGCAGAGGGAGGCTAATCACAGATTTGGGGTGAGAAATGTACAAATGATCTTTGGTGCTAGAAAGCAAGGAAATAAGTGCTAGTACAAAAGAACATCAAAACCCTGAAATCGAAAGCATCTTAGGGAAGGAGGGAGAGAGACTAACATTACTGAGAAGACAACTCAAATAGAAAACCAAACATGAAGACATGCAAAACAATGTTTTCTCTACCCAAGGAATAGAAAGTTGGTTTAACATATAAAAAAATCAGTGTAATATACCATATTAATAGAATGCAGTACAAAAATCATGATCATCTCACTATGATAGGAAAAAAGCATTTGATGATTTCTAACACTCTTTCAGAAACAACTAGTTTAAAATCTAAGACTAGAACTTCCTCAAGTAATAAAGGCATTTGTAATCAATGACTAAATGCTTCCCCTCCAAGACTAGGATGTTTGCTCTTATCATTTCTTTTTTAAATATTTTATTATTTTTATTTTATGTGTATGAATATATTGCCTGCATGTGTGTAAGTGCACCCATGTCATGCAATGCCCAATAGAGGTCAAAAGAGGGTGTTGGATTCCCCTGGAACTGGACTTAAAGGTGATTGTTAGCCATCATGTGGGTGCTAGGAATTGAACCCAAGTCCTCTGAAGAGCAGCCAGTGCCCTTAACCATTGAGCCATCTCTTTAGCATCCCCATTTCTTCTTAACACTATACTAGATATGACAGACAGAGACCACAGGTCATATCTAAAAAAATTAAAATTTACCCATTATGTAGGCTGGCAAGATGGCTCAACAGGTAAGGTTGCTTATAACACAAACCTGATGACCTGAATTGGATCCCCTGAGTCCATGTGAAGGTAGGTGAGAACTGATTCCAAAAAGTTGCCCTCTGACCTCCACAACTGCATCCACCCACACACATATCACACAGATGAACAGATACACGCACAATAGTAATAATAACAATAATA